ATATATATATATATATATATATATATATATATATATATATATATATATATATATATATATATATATATATATATATATATATATATATATATATATATATATATATATATATATATATATATATATTCGTAGGGCACAGATTAAAACGTCGTAATAATAAACTTTTCTTGCGGTGTTCGTATTATATTATACGGAGTACTTAAAAAAAACTGGTATTGTTTGTATTGCATAAAATACTCCACATGATATATAAAACATGTTCTAATGTGTATTATATGTAAGCTCGCTCTGTTATGAGCAAAATAGTGACTTGTCACTTGATGATGAGATTTTTATGTGTCCCCAACTGTGTATGTTTACCGAATAGGGCTTCTCTGTTCTTTTTCGACGTCAAGCGCACGTCACCCTTTCTCTCTTCTCCAGTGACGTCTGCAGCTCCCTCTTCTCTAACGATGTTAGTAGCCCCCGACGCACGTTAGACTTCTCTCTCTTCTCAAAGTTTCCAGTTTCCAGCTAGTGTCCAAGCTTCCTCTTGCTTCATCCAGAGTTCAGCTTGAAGGAGGGTGTTAGACAATAATATTAATCCTAATTATTGTGGTATTAGTTATGGCAATTCTTATGTTTTAGTCAGTTACTATTCTTGTTTCCTAGTTCTAGTTGGGGTTGTATTCACCTTCTATATATTTTACCATATACTCCATTATCTCTTGAATAATACATATGTCTCAATATCTCAATAACGTGCTAAACAAACTCGTGGAAGTTTTCCAATTAGATTTCATCAATCAATAGATAAATTTCACATGATACATTGTGACTTGTGGGCACCATATAGATTGCCAGGTTTGATGGTTTTACGATGTTCTTAACTATTATGGGTGATTTTTCTAGAGGAGTTTGGGTTTATTTTCTTGATTCTAAGTGTATTGTTAGAAGCATTTTTAGACAATTCTGTGCTGTGGTAGAATGATAACCATATTGGATCGGCTTGAATCTGGTGACACTGGATCATGAACGTGTAGTTCTCAACCCAAACCACAACTTCTCTGAACCTGATGTAACCCAAACCCAATGTAACCGAACTCAAATTTGAACTGACCGGCAGATTTGCAAGCTCTAAAAATAGTGTATAATTGAAAAAAATTATATATTCAAAAATTAGAGATGACATGAGTATATTATTTTATCAAATAAGTAATAGAAATATGCCAACAAATTAAATAAAATTTATTTATGTGAATAAGGAATGGAAAGATCTTTTTTCAAGGTAAGGTGTAAGTAATACTACCTCCGTCCCAGAGTATTTGTTCACTTTCATTTTTACACACTATCCAATACTCTTCTTTAATCCATTTTATCTTGTAATTTGTATATCAAAAACTATAGAAATTATATATTAATAATCTATATGTTAAGACAAATCGAACAAGATCACACATGACTATTTTAGGCTTATACATTGAGAGAATTTGATGAGTCAAAGTGCTTTGATGAACAATTCCAAAAGTCAAAAGTGGACGAATATAGCGGGACGGAGTGACTACTCGGTAACAAATGATAGGAAACATGTTACATTGTTACCCAAGTACTTTATATGGGTGGGCCGAACCAAAGAGAAAAGAAAGGAGTTAGGCATGGGCCGCATGACTACTAATTACTGCGGGGTATTACAAATTTACAATAGGGAAAACACTAAGGTACCGTTTGGTACACAGAATTCAAATTATGTAAATTTGAAATTGGTAGTGCAAAAAATGAATTGGAATTGATGAATCCAATTCTATGGAATTGAATCCCATGAGTTTCAATTCCAATTACATCAATTCCATGTGTCAAACGGAGCTTAAGGATCCGTTTTGTATATGGAATTAGAATTGAATTGGAATTGAAATTTCATGGGATTCAAGTTCATAGAATTGAATTCACCAATTCTAATTCATTTTTTACACTACCAATTTCAAATAATTTTTGTGCTACCAAACATCAAAATTGGAATTGAGATCTTCAATTCCAATTCTATAATTTAAATTCCGTGTACCAAACGGGGCCTAAGGTAAAAACACAACACACAACTTTAGGTAAAATTGAAAAGTAGTACTCGGTAAAAGACAGTGAAGGAACCTTTTTATTTTTTTTGGGGAAGTGGAGAGTCCGAATTTGGATGTAAAAGTACGTTGATAATGGGGTGTGCCAATTGAGGTAGTCTTTGTACCTTGCCTATAAAAAGCAACGCATTATTGAGGTGGGGACACAGACGCACAGTATGGTATGGAGGCACCGGAAATACTCTTGACGCCCCGGGCTTCAAAGCTTTAAAATTTCTTTTTCTGACACGTCAGATTTAGCTTACCTCACAGATTCACTGAAAATGGGTTTGAAGTTCTGGGGATTCAAACTGGGGCTTCAAACTTTCATTTTTTACATTTTTAAATATATATATCTTCTAAAACTAAATTAATAAAATGTAATTAATTTATTATTTAATTATATTGAAATACGAAAATAAAAAAATACATTCATTAAATTTAAATAAATTGAAACGACAATAATTTAAAATTTAAAAAATTACATTCATTAAACTAAAAAAAACGACAATAATAAAAAAGATACATTAATGTTCAAAAGAGAGTTGGAGAATTGGAGAACTGAAGAATGTGAAGAAGATTGAAGATTGAAGTTGTGAGAATGGAAGGGGGGGAGTTTGAGATTTATAAAAAAATAATTTAAATTTTTTTTTGGGTTTCAACGACTAAATTAGCCGTTAGGGGGAGGGGAATCAGCGTCAAACGAATGACGCGTTTGGGGTGATGCCCGAAACATGCCGCAGGGGGCAGTGTTTAACGCCGGTCGGGCGTGAAAAGCTGTGTAACGCCGACCGGCGTTAGGAATATACCCAGTGCCCTGACAATAAGCAACGCATTAGAGCGCTCCTCGTAATTCTCTTAACGCTGAAGCATTTTTATGGGAGAACTTTTTAACGCTCCCAGCCTTAAACACCACCCCCTCCCCTATCAAATTACGGTCATCTTTTCTACGTCAAAAATTTAACGC